CACACACACACACACACACACAAACGCAGAACTATCTCAACAAGATGTATAGACAAAGGAGAATTATGGACTTTCTGTCTGTCTCTCTCTCTCTCTCTCTCTCTCTCTCTCTCTCTCTCTCTCTCTCCCTCCCTCTCGCTCTGAGTCCCTCCCTTTCGCTGTGCCTCCCTCTTTTTCCTTCCATTTATCTATCTCCCCATTCTCTATCCCTTTCTTCTACCTTCTCTCTATTTCTTTCACTGTCTTTCTTCCCCAAATACCCCATTTCTCTATTCATGTACTCCCTGTGCCCCCACCCCGCTCCATTAGAATGCCTAATAAAGTAATTTCCTTTTCCAATCTCTACCCCCCAGGATGTCTCATTTCGCCGGTCACAAGGACCTACAGAACCAGATGGTCACCCAGGAAGCCTAGGTCACGTGACCACAGCGTCACGTGACCACAATATGGCCACATAGTCACGTGAACAAGTAACTACACTGACCACAGTCACGTGACTACATGACCACACAATCACGTGACCAACTGATCATACAGCCACGTGACCACACATCTACGTGACCACAGATGAGCACACCGTCACGTGACCAACTGACAACACCAAAACAGCTTGACCACAGCGGGTCAAACATGCGCACCCACCCATCACCACCTACAGAAAAAAGGGACGACCATTTCATCTGTAGTCTACCCCAAACCGTCCCTACAACTAGCTCTAGAGTGTCACTTATAGACATACCTTCTTCTAACAGTTTAGTTTTAGTTTATATATATATAGAGAGAGAGAGAGATAGAGTTTTACAGCATTTACAACACAAATTGATGCGTTCGTCAAGGGATGAGATTTCTCTGGAGTCTGGAGTCTCGACTTGGAACAAATCTTTAGTTTTATTTTAGTTTTACGGCACTGGCAACATAAACAGGTCATATATAAATGCCACAAAGATCAGAGCAGAGGTGTTACTAGAGAGTAACATAACACAGAAAAGAGGGAGGAGAGATAAGGACAGAGCATTTTCGACAGCACAGAAGGAGTAAACCACACCAGAACACCCGCTAACCACCCACTTGATCGCCCGGGATCTCCTCGAGTTTGGATTGAGTAAGACAAGGACAGCAACTACTGACAGAGTCCTCACCAACTAACACACAGACGGACAATGTGTGGACGATGTGTGTATGTCAAAAAGCCTGTGTTGGTGTGTTAAGAATGTATCTCATGTGGTTATCTCTACACAGTCGACAGAGAAGACCACCGTATACAGGACATTTCTACTGTGTGTAAACAATATGTAAATAACCAGTCAAAAATGTAAACAATGTGTAAACAATGTGTAAATAACAAAGTCAACTGTGTAAACATTTTGTCAACAACGCGTCAGCGAGGTGTGACCAATGTGTTAAAAATGTGTTAACAATGTGTAGACAATGTGTTAAAAATATGTGTAAACAATGTGTAGACAATGTGTTAAAAATATGTGTAAACAACAAAGTATAAAGTGTCCAAAATGTGTTAACTATGTATGTGTAAACGATGCGTCAAAAAAAGTGCCAACTATCTGTAAGAAATGCGTAAACAACGTGAAAACGAATGTGTCAACAATGTGTCAACT